ATACTAATTAATACTTATTGATTGAAAATACACCGTCTATAAAATAAGTCTGAGTGAAACTTTATCCTATTATTCGATATGAACAAAGGATCTCTATTCAACCAAAGCAAGAAAGTAATCTTGACTTTGTTTTCATTCATTCCGCTCGCGACTGCATCAATTGTAAACGAAAATTATGAATCTGAACAGGATGTGTACGATGCGATTATTAACACATTCTTTCCGGTATTTTTGTCATCTTGTCTAATGTTTCAGGGGAATCTGGACGTATAAAAAATGTGCTGTTGCCAGTACTGGATGACTTATTATACAACACAGTCACTTGGGTGATTCCGCTGGTAGTTTCTTTGGCCTACGATGATTTGCCGAGTATTAAGATATTTTCATTTATAAACATGGGTTTGCATCTAATTTGCGCAGTAGTCGCGATAATTGAGCATAAAAAAGTTAAAGATATTGTTGAAGATCAATCTGATCCTTTTTTATATATCTGGATATTCCTGATATTTATCCCAGCGGTAATAATTCCAACATTCTGGATTGTTGTTATTACAACTAGAAATCTTTTTGATACAATTAATATAGTATTCCTTACATCATTTGGGATATTGTCAATTACAGCATTAATTGCTATTATACTATTTTGTCTTGCGGTGTGTGGCTCAAGAAGATCGGCACAAGTATTTTATTCGATGATTGTTCCTACTATATTTTTCCCTGGATGGTTTTATCTCCCGAATATTCTGCAAACATTATTTATTGTGTTAAAATGGCCAATCGATTTTTACTTTGTCAAGGCATGCATATTTATACTGATGGCCTTCTGGCTACTTCAACAACAATGACTCAATATTGGTTGCGCAGATTAATATACATATAGCTAAAGGAGTATAAAAATCTAATAATAGGTGAAAGCGAAACTTTAAAGGAAGAAATCAGGGAAATGAACCAATCAATGGCCGAAATGAAAGAAACTCAAAAGGAAGAAATGAAAGAAATTCAAAAGAATGAAAGTCAAAAGTATGAAACTCTAAAGGAAGAAATGAGATCAATAGCCGAAATGAACAAATCAATGGCTGAAAGGATGGACAGAATGGAAAAATCAAGATATAATGGATGAAATTATGTGTGAAGGTTTCAAATATATAGGCCATAATGATGATAATAATGGTGATTTAACATCAGTTTCTTTTGGAATGGCTATTATGCTGGTGACTTCGTCACTCACGGTATATTTACTTACTATTCCATTACATACATCATTATGTATAGTGTTATTTAATAAAAACATAGCAATAACTTAACAATATTCCCATAAAAATTTAATTGATCATTCGAACGAAATAAACTTTTTATAAATTTTTTTTTATAATAATAAATATATAGCATCTCCAAATTCGACGTCACCGATTTTGTGCATTCAAGTAATCGATGTTTAATTTGGGATGTTTGGGTGGCTCTTCCTCACCAACTAACTGTTTGGTTGGATAAGAAAATAAGTCTAAAAAAAATTTCGTCTCTTCATCAGTTCAACCCTTTTTCTTCCTACTTGTAACACCAAAACATGCTTGGCTACTAACTTCTTCGAATAAAAGATTATTTTGACCAATTAGTCCAAATGATATTGATGCAATTATTTATTTATTGACCTTTTTTTTACACTGTAAATTTAAAAAAGATATGTTAATTGCGTTTTTTGAAAAAAGTTCACTCATGTATAAAACCTCGCTATTGATTTTGCATAATCTTTATTTTTTGAGTTTTGTCAAGTTCATATTTCCTCACTAGTTAATAAATGATAATCTGCTAATACTTGGCCAACTATTGATAATGATATATAATTCTTCATAATTCAAAGAGTTAAAATATATTTTTCTGTCAGTGCATTTACTATTTCAACTATACCATATTCTCACTATGCATGTGGTAGAAATAGGTTGATCACTTGACTCAATCAAGTGACTTACGACGCAATTAAAAATTGAGATTTTGAGGATTGAGTCAAAGCCAAATTAATTTTGACAACATGTATAATTCTCACATTGTACCTTTTGTCATTGGCTTGATTGTGTTAGTATCTGTTTCTTTGTCGCCTCCGTGATTGTGGATCCTAGCACCACCAAATGAATGTTTGTACCATTATAAAGCTCTTCTAATGAAACCCAGGTGTAATTATCAAATATATTAGACTTGAAAACTCGACAAAATGCTCAAAGTGCTGCTAATACCGCAATCCTGAGGAGAGTGAGGTGCTGTGTTTCTTGAATATAATTGTAAATTATATTAATTTTTTATTTGCTATCGTTATTAATGTTAATGCTAACAATGCCATTAATTAAATATTTCCGTTTTCAATGATTTTGTATTTAAATTGCGTTACCAATTTAATTTATTGGTATATAAGATTTTAATAGTAAGCACTAATCGCGTTATAATGAATTCGCGTGA